AGCCCCAACAGGTAAGCATGGTAAGTTCATGCTTGCCTTTATGTCTCATGAGTTAAGGATGTAGAAGCCTGAAGTGTCAAGGGCGTAGAAGCCTGAAGAGTCAATCGTTTTTGTCATCAAGTTATTGGAAGCTCCAACAACTTTCCCTGAATACGAATTCGCAACTTTCGATTTACAACAGGTACCTACTTTACTGCTAGGTGAACAGGGACCTTTACTGCTAGGTGAACAGGGACCAATTGGGGCGCGGAAGTATGTCCAAACAACTTTTCCACTGGCCCGGGAATCGAACCCGTGACATCTCGCTTGCGAGGCAAGAGCTGTACCGCTTCTACCAGCGGCGCCCCATGTTTATGTAATGATCTACCCTAGGGTCATAACATAACTAACGCGGGCCTGACCAGGGAGCCTAAGGGTAATTTGTCAAGTTATAGGTTGGAAACAAAAGCTATCATTATATGACATTGCGGTTTAATGTCTTATGACTGTGACTGATATTAATCTAGTGTTCTGTTGTTTTGCTACTGTGATTTTTTTGTGTGTGTAACCTAGTGACGTGTCATTTGATTTGGTCAGTCATCATGTTTTCCCAGGAAAGATTCGTTAATGATCACTCACTAGAGACTCTTTGCCCTGATCAATTACGTAAACCAGACTGGATTAGCATTGCTAGCTATTATGAAATTAACGTTCTAAAGGGTCAGGAATACAAAATGTTGTGCTTACAGAGTTGGTGCTGGAAGAAATTATTTTGGAAGAAGCCCTTCAGTTACATGTAGTTGACACTGCAGCTAGTGTAGACACTGGGAATAGTTTAGAATTACGTAAGCTGGAGATGCAACATGAGTTAGCCACGGAGGAGAAAAGCGCGAACATGAGTTAAGGTTACATGAGGAAAGAGAAAAGGAGAGCCCTGGTTCTCACACCGTCCTCGGACTACCCCTTCCAGCAAACGGTGGTTGACATGTTTCAGCTTAAGGGGCACATGTACACTCGCACCAAAAAGTATCGGTGCAGGGTGAGATCGACAACTTCCGAAACGATACGTATACACTGTGATATGTCGGGAAGGTTGGTAAGTGTATCCTCATAACCTCCCCCACCCCCCTCCACTAGGTGTTGCCATTGGCTGACAATCAGTGTGTTTGCTTCCTCTTTTCGGATTGTTGCTTTGTGTCGACTGAATGATGAGCGAGGGTTCGGTCTCGGTGAACGTGGGTATAAAACAGAGGCAATATGAAGCAGTAGAGATCTACACATGCCAGACGACATGGAAACCTCAGAGGGAACACGAAGAGCTATTATTGCCCTTCATAACGAAGGGTTCGGCGTCACAGATATTAGCTGGTGGGTTGGTGTCCACAGGAACACCGCTGCACAATGGATTCGGAGATACCTCGGAACTGGTGCTACAGACGACAGGTCTCGGAGCGGCCGTCCACGCTGCACCACCCCTCAGGACGACCAGGTTGAGTGGTTTATTTGGTAGCATAAATTAATGTGGCAATATTCACAAGTATCACAAATCATTTTGTTAACAGGGAGCTCCCCATATTTCATACCGTCTATTTATCACTTCCCGACCTTATTTCTAACGGTTTGTTTCACTTGACCAGGCCATAGTAGCTGCTTGTGATGCTGATCCATTCAATTCTGCTGCTACCATCTCCAATGGGCTCGGTCTGCAGCTCAGCAGGATTACAGGGCTGCCAACATCTGGCTGGAACAACTCGCCTTTCCCAATACCTATCGTCACTGGTCTCAAATTGTTCACACTACAGTATACACCGATATTTTTTGTTGCGAGTGTACATGGCCTATGCCGATAGGTTAACTGGTTGGCTAGAGGTGGCCCATTTCCCCAATGGTACCACTTCAACCAGGATTATGTTCCAGCTCAGGAACCTCTTCACTAGGTGGGGGGCCCCTGAACAAGTCTCCACCGAGGAGGCACTAATCTTGAGTGAAGAGATGACCAGCTTCTTCAAGTAACGGGGCGTGTCAGTACGTCTGTCCTTTGCCCAGTACCTCCAGTCCAACGGCAGAGCAGAAGCGGCTGTCAAAACTGCCAAAAGGGTCATCAGGGCCAACACCGGCGGTGGGGGAGGGAGCCTCGACACCGACAAGGTGGCCATGGCCATCCTGCAGTATTTAAACACCCCACTTCATGGGACAAACAAGTCCCCAGCTCAGTTGGTCACAGGGAGGCAGCTACGTGACATGGTACCTTCGACCAGACAGCACTCTAAGGAGGACAGGCACTGACGTCAGGCTCTCCACAACAGGGAGTTGTAGTTGGTCAACAAGCAGCAGTCCATCCTTCGTTATCTGCTTGTATGTTTGACATCAGTTTAATTATTGCCTTGCAATTTCGAACACTGATTAGATTGTAAACAATAGACTTAAGAAATTGATCTGACCCATGACACTGATTTTCATAGTCCAATGTATATGTAATGGGCCCCTGTTTCATCAACAGAACATATTATATAAATGGGTCAATACATCTGATATTATATTCAGATTCACCACCCTGTAACTTCCCACTGGCTATGAGGTGACATGTTCAATGCACGTGATAAGGTGTGCCCATGGGAAGCTGCGTCATACTATGCTGAGTAAAGGCATAAGTAGCCGGCTCTCTGGCCACCTGAAGCGAGCAATAGTTTGATATCCTTGACTAGAGGAAGACGTTATTTGAGAGCCGCAGTGGATGGCTTCCTCTTCCCTCGAGGGGGAACGACGTACCCATACCGTTCTCCCTCGATGGGTCACTACTCATGAGTCACTCACAGCATCTTATATAGTAAGGACGTGATCTAACTTTTATATTACATAAACGCCGTCCCTTTCTCATTCACTCATATATAGTGGAACTTACGGTCGATCTACACTCAAGAATTATAGATACAATCCTTTTATAATAAAACAAGGAACTACAGTTTGGGTTTCGTTACTTAAACCCAAATAATAAATATATGTGAACGGCCTGGTTAATTGGACAATCCAGCCGATTCATATAACGCAGCTGAGTTAAAAGAACATGTATGTACAATCAAAGACAAAAGTCATGTCATGGTTTTGCCCGAAGATTAAATATAACTCATGAAACATTATGAGAGCCCCCTACCACAAGGCAGAGCACACCAAAAGCTTAGCCCTTCAGCATATGTTTTCACCAAATTTCACGACACGACTTTTGTCTTTCATTGTACATGTGTGAGGAGGCATTCTGACACGCGTGAGTTGCCATACGCCTTGTATATAACTGAGTGCATGGGAGAGAGATTCACGTTTCTGACGCTCCTCCATCGTATCTCAGGGATGTAACTAATGCTTCATGTCCGCCATATTAAGTGAAGTTAACTCAGTTGAACTTCGTTGAATTATCAGTGTTCATGTTTTAACATAGTTGAAAGTCTTATGTCCCAAGTGATGCAATAACGTAACTAGACATCGTCCGTGTTGACCTACCATGCATTTCCCTTGCCAGATGTGTGTGGTAATTTGTGTTTGATTTTAAATGACGTTGCTGACGGTCCTCCATCGTATCTCAGGCACAGTGGGTGTTGTTGCTGTTACTTGCTGCTACTGACTACCGGTAGCAGCCTGCGGGCGAGATGTCCGAAGCAGGATGTCTTTAATCCAGCGAGATTATAAGTAGAGGGAGTGATGCGCCCTGGGAGCTAACCAAGGGAGAGTGGGCTCTCTAGCACCGTGCGTTGGAATTTAGCGAGACTACAGTATAGCTGAGTGCATGAGTTTGAAAACGAGCGGTGTGAGCCTGGTGTACTTATCTTGATTATATAGCACAGTAGTATTTTCGTGTACATGATTGTGGATAATTAGCAGTAATATAACTATCCCAGGTTGATTATGGAAACCATAAATATTGCTATTGCCAGTATGTATTAGAGTTTGTTATATGTTGTGAGTAAACCATCTATGTATACTCACAACTGAGAAGCTGGTACATGTTTCCTGTGATAGCATGTTGCTCTAAATATTAATACCATCATTCTGTGCTATTAGCAAGTGAGTACAGTGGCCATCTTTAGTATCAGTGATATATAATAATATTCTTAATGAGGTATACTATAAGTATTGAATGTTAATTGAAGATCTATTTTTGTTACTAATACAGTAAGACCTGGTGGTCCGTTTTTGTCTGAATGTTATGGTAAAGTGATTGAACCTAGTTTTGTTGTTGTGAATAAAGGTTCAAATTGTCATACTATTCACATTAGATTTTAATAAATATTAATGTAGTAGAATGTGAGTATCAACTCTCCTTCCTTCCAAAACTTGGCTTATCAGAAAATAAACACTGTAATTCACGTACCTAAGCTCGTGTCTACCATGCTACCACCCCTTTTGAATAAGTTACATTCTAAATAAACGCCTGGGTGGTGGCAGTCTACTATTATATCAAGGTGTAATGTTAAAGAATGATATAGTTTTCCCAGGTTAATCCATTGAATAGAATATAAGTAAATACACCTGAGAATAAAAGCAAGTAAGAGGAAACACACAAACAATAAGCACTGAGAAAGACTTAATAAATAAAGAAAAGAAAGATAGATAAAACCAAGAAATAAAAACATTGAAGAAAATACTCAGAAAATAACTTAGAAATCGTTGCAAAACTACAATAACTAAAGAAAAGAAACTTAGAAAAAATTAACAAGTAAATCAGAAAATAAGTTACACATAACCAAGGAAATTAAAGGTTATATAAGTGTAGCAACAGAAAAGAAATAGAAATCAATAATTATAAAAGCTAACCTCTTGCAAATATTTTCAACTGATGTAATGAATGTTATTAACTGATAGAATAAATTTATTATTTTCCCCCATTACAAATTATATAGTTAGTGGGAATATAAATGTCCACCTGCATTACACTGTACATCTTAAAAGTGAAATAAGCTGGGGTGGATAATTTTCAGGTGATCTCACACACATATCCATTGGAATTAGTCAAAACACTTGTGGCTGACCTTATAGAGCTGGTCGTTGAGGTGGTAGTAGGTCGGGGCAAGGGAACAGTCCACGTTGAACCACCAGTTACAGGCGAATATGACCTGGTCGAACACTGTACCGTTGGAGCAGAGGAAGCTTGCCACTGGGTGGTCGTCTCTACACACATGATAAACCTAAAGTGGGTGGAAAAGATTGGGTGAGTAAGAAGGAGAGATTGGATGAGTGCGAGGGAGAGATTGGATGAGTGGGAGGGAGAGATTGGGTGAGTGGGAGGGGGAGATTGAGTGAGTGTGAGGGGAAGATTGGGTGAGTGTGGAGGAGAGATTGGGTGAGTGTGATGAAGAGATTGCAAGGGTAGGGGGAGAGAGAGTGAAGGAGTGGGAGGGAGTAGAGAGGTGATTGGGTAAGTGGGAGCAAAGAAGTGTGATCCTGACCAGCATAGTGTGTAAAGTACTTGAGAGCATTATAGGAGATGCCATGATAGAACTTCTACTACAAAACAGTATTGTAAAGGATTGTCAATGGTTTTATGCCGGGATACTCCTGTTTAACAAATTACTCAAGGTACTGGATGTTTGGACCCAAATTCTGGAACAGGGTGGCAATATCGACATTATATACCAGGATTTTGCCAAGGCTTTTTACAGTGTAACCCATGAAAGGCTGTGAATTAAACTGGAAGGGTTTGGGATTCGGGGAAGTGTCCGACCGTGGATCGGAGACTTTCTGCATGGTCGCAAGCAGTGTGTGGTGATTTACGCTACGAAATCGTCATGTGTACCCGTGACAAGCAGGGTACCACATGGCAGTGTATTGGGCCTGTTGTTGTTTGTTTGTTTCATAAATGACATACCTGAACCAATACGCTCCTCCATACAAATGTTTGAGGAAAATGCCAAGATATTTAGGGAAATTAAGAACCAAACAGGCTGTGAAGAGCTGCAGAAAGATCTCTGTGAGCTTCAAGAGTGGTCGAAGAAATGGCTGTTAAGATTCAATGTCACGAAGTGTAAGAGGATGCACCTGGGTCGTACCAACGGGATGAAGAAACTGCGTTAATTGAGACTGAATCGAAAAGGGGCTGGGTATGTATGTTGACAATGAAATGAAGTTCTCAGGCCTTATAAGAAGGTGGTTCAGATATCTAGACGGTCTGTCCCTCGTAACGATCTTCAGGAGTGAAGGCACCAGACTGGTGACTGCACTTCGGCACCTCAGCTACCCTTAGAGATTAGAGCGCCTGCAACTGCCTAGCTTATACAGACGGGCAAGGGGTGACCTAATTGAGGTGTATAAACATCTCAAAGTGCACTACTCAGTCGAGTGGCCTTACCTGGGGCTTTTGGACGCTCGCCCCACAAGGTGTCACAGCTCAAGGTTAAGGAAGCCGCAAGTCCAGAAAACTGTGAGGGGTAACTCTTTTCGAGTGAGAGTTGTGAACTCTTGGAAGTATCTGCTACAGCTAGAGTGTGCTATGTTGGCACCGAGTATGAGCTCTTTCAAGACCAGACTTGAACAACACTGGAGGAGGTTCAGATACATTCAGGAGCCGGTGCATGCCCAGTACTTGCCAACAGTGCGTAACAGAGACGTGACCGATCGCCCAAGCAGCTAACGAACCGATCAGTGGTGAAGAGGATAAAAGTAAAAGTAAAGTAAAATTAACCTTACCCAACCTAACCTAACCAAACCTGACCTATTGTGTTTTCTTTTAAAAATCATTAAAAATGTTTCATTATGTGATTCGGATTGTCATTTCCTTTTATTTAGTAACCGTAATTTAAATATCCTGAGGTGGCATGTTTGGCACATTTTTACATTTAAACCTGATTAATATTATATTATACTATTTTATTTAACTGCTGAGGACTGCAGTTGTCAGTCGAAATTTTAAAATTTCATTGCAATTTTTAGTTTTATGATTCACCTGTACTTCATCAAGGCATAACAGTCGCGAGGTGCTGGAAAATAGGGTCGTTGCGGGTCGGGTCGTGTTGCGTCTCTGTAACAAAGCGTGTTCGGCATTCAGATGTTCGTTGTTGAGCGGCAGAAATTGGACAGTGATTACATAAGAACACCAAGATCGTCTTAGTGATGTGAAAGTGTAAATCGATGTAGGATTTTTAATGCTAGACGCGATTGTACTTTTGAAAACTCAATCTCCACCGAGTTGGATGTACAGCCCAGGTCAAGAGGCATACAACCACAAAATCATTGCCATATGACAAAACTTTTTTTTTTTTTTTACGGAGTTGTGGTCACGGCTGTGATAAACGCCAACCAGGGAGTGTAGTACTGTGCCTTTAGTTAAATCAGTTCATAATGTCATGTGACCGCGGAAGAGGTTGTAAATAACTTAAAGTGAATACAAAGTGGCAAGCTAGAGGGAAAGGCTGAAACCAAGTCGTGTTATAGGTGCCACAGAGACTTTAAATTTTATTTTGTTTATGTGCTATTTCATGGACTGAAAAAGTTTGTGAAAGGCTGTTAGTACCTTAAAAGTATGGGTGCATTCTGAACCTATGTGTGAAGCATGTTATGGGTGTTGGTGGAGAAATACACTCATGACTCCTGAAATCTAGAGAGAGTAATGAAAAAACAGCGGAGCACCCGCCTGCCTGACGGGTCATAAGTGATTTTCTCGGTTTCTTGTAAATGCCTGCCACTTGGCAGGTTAGTAGTTACAACCTTCGGGTTCTGGGTAGTTAGGACAGTTAGGATTATAGTATTTTGTGGGTCATCCCAGACAGGCTATGAGTGATCCATGTTCTTGTGTAGTATGACTAAAATCGGGATTTCTATTCCTCAATGATTGCTATAATTTTGTCGGATGCCCTTAAGGCATGTTTATCGGTGCGAGTAATATTTGTAATGTTTTATGTGCCACTAAGTGATGTAGGATGTACGAAGGAATTGTTTCAGATGAGTTCCTCATTCTGGTGTCTGTTCTGGTGTATGTAGTACTGCTGTATTAGTAGTCCTCTTCATAAGTAGTAGGAAGTGGGCAGCTACCAAACAGGGAGGTACTACCGCCTGGGAAGATATTGGAAGCATAATGTGTTGTCTAATGGTAGACCCTTCTGGCATATGGCATCACGAAAATTGTGACCAAGTCCCAGGCTGCTGATCTGACTTTCTGCCTCATTTACACACAATTGCAGGGTCTCAATTGTTTCTCTTACTATTGACAACACAACATACATATATTGTTTCTCACTTTTTATCTTTTTTCTCATTTTTAATTTCTTTATTATTATTATTATTATTATTATTATTATTATTATTATTATTATTATCATTATTATTATTATTATTATTATTATTATTATTATTATTATTATTATTATTATTATTATTATTATTATTATTATTATTATTATTATTATTAGTATTATTACATTTTCGCCCCCCAGGCCCTGATGTGGGTCAGTGACCTGTGCCCGGGTGAGCTAATCCCCGTAAAAAAAAAAAAATGCAATTAATATCTTTTAATAATTTTTTTGATTCCATGTATAACTTTTGTTTCCCATTGTAGAGTTATAAGCCACGCTAAGAAGTACTCTAGTGCTTGTGTACAATTATTGATTCTGTCTGTAGTGTTGGAAGGGATAGAAGTGTCATCTTTTACCAGTGTGTCTCATTAACCCCAATCACATGTACTAGCTTTCCACGGTCACGGAGAATACTTTTATTTCATTGTGTTTGTGCTGGTTTGGGATTTTCTCTGAGGGGCGCTTCCACTGCATTACCATCCACTACAACTAAAAAAAAACCCAATTACTAATAGCGAGATTATTCCGACCGATTACATATATATATATATATATATATATATATATATATATATATATATATATATATATATATATATATATATATATATATATATATATATATATTTCTGTAGATCCACAATGAAAACGTGATAAGATAATTTCATAAAATCACACGGGAAAAGGGAAACAACGGAGCACCTTAGCTTTCGTTTTATTCAAGACATCTTCAGATGTCTTGAATAAAACAAGAATATGTTTCCATGTATTTATCATATATATATATATATATATATATATATATATATATATATATATATATATATATATATATATATATAATCAACACCTCAAACCACCAGGATTCGAACCCACGGCCCACAAGCCCATGACTGTGATCGGGGAACACTAAATGCTGGACATCCAGGATACTAAAAGCAGTCCTAGACTTTGTTATATTTCACACAAAGCCTGTTTTTAGTATCCTGGTGGTCCAACGGTTAGCGTTCCCCGGTCACAGTCATGGGCTTGTGGGCCGTGGGTTCGAATCCTGGCGGGTTGAGGTGTTGATTGTATGTAGAAGTCCGCGTGCTTTATTGGGTTAATGAAATATATATGGATCCTCGTGCTTCGAAGCCGGATTTGGGAAAACGTTACTCTGACCATCTACGTGATACGGGTAGTCCCCATTAGAGGTTCACGGCGCCTTAACCTCGTTGAACAGGCTTTGTGTGAAATATAACAAAGTCTAGGACTGCTTTTAGTATCCTGGTGGTCCAGCAGTTAGCGTTCCCCGGTCAGTCATGGGCTTGTGGGCCGTGGGTTCGAATCCTGGCGGGTTGAGGTGTTGATTGTATGTAGAAGTCCGCGTGCTTTATTGGGTTAATGAAATATATATATACATATATATATATATATATATATATATATATATATATATATATATATATATATATATATGCAAATGATGAAAATTTAATGAATCTATGGAGGAGTAATACCCCCCCTTACCCCGCCCCCCCCTCTGCGGACGCCCATGAGGGCAGAACTGTAACTTTCGGTACGGGGAACTTCTGGACCGCCCATACGCGGACCAGAAGTTACCTAGTAGGCGGCAACTTCTGGTCAGCTACACCGACATAAAACCCATAAAACCGTGTTGGCAATCCTTCACAAGGTTGTTCCGTAGTAGATGTTCCATCATGGCATCTCTTATAATGCTCTCAAGTACTCTATATACTATGCTGGTCAGGCTCACTGATCTATAGTTATTTGTGGAATAACGATCGCCCTTCTTGAAGATAGGACTCACATAAGCCATTTTCCAACCACTGGGGACCTTTTGCTCACCCAGGATCTCCAGGAGCTCAGCAAGCTCGTTGCACAATTCTCTTTGCTCTCTGGGATGCAGCATGTTAGGACTGAGACTCTTATAAACCTTGAGCATTGACAATTTATTTCTTATAAGCTCTTCTGTGAATACAATGTGGGTCAGTTCTGTGTTGAACCGCCTGTCCTCAAAAAAAGGAAGATTTTTCACATCCTCTCTTGTGAACACAGAGGAAAAGAAACTGTTCATGCTTTCGCTTTGTCCTGGTCAGAATCTGCGTAACTACCGTCTCCAAGCCTCAGGTCCGATACTCCTACTCACGCTTTTAATATCGACTTTGCATAGAGGTAAAACGCCTTTGGGTTTGACTTGACCTCGCTTATAACCAGCCTCTGGAACTCCTTTTCAGCCCTCCAACACTCTGACTTTGCTTGATTCCTGGCTCTTGCATACATCCTCCTACCCTGTTCATCGTTTGACCTAATCCACGCCTTGAATTTCTAGGTTTTCTTCTTAACTTTGTCGACCGCCACATGGTTCATGTGTAGTGGGCTCTTTGTATTCCTAGACGTACTGGGTTTGGTCTTGGGTATATATTTCTCGATCAAATAGTTCACTTTACTGGCTATGATAAACAGCATAGTGTCCGTGTTCCTATGCCTTGGAAAATCAGGCCAGTGGATACCCCTCATCTCCTCCATCATCCCGTCGTAATTTTCATTGTAATATTTGCACCTTGTCCTGGTTTTGTCGTGAACCAAACATCAGTTAAATCTGAAGGACATCATTACATGGTAGCTGGTGCCAATCTCCCGTTGGCCACCATACCCTCCTCGTTTGTTATGATGAGTTCCAGTGGCTTGGGTGTTTGCTCCTCTCTGTAATGCGTCGGGTCCTTAACATGTTGGAACAGAAAATTATCTCTCAGAGTTTCTACTAAAAGAGTAGCGGGGTTATATAAGTCATTTGGCTTGGACTCATTTCCCCAGTGGATGTCGCCATAGTTAAAGTCCCCCATGATAAGGAGGTGGCTAGGGTTGAGCATCATTGTGTTGTCTATTAAGGCTCTTCAGTTCTTTTGGTTTAGTAAGCTATAGTTTGGGGATCTGTAGATACACCCGACAATAAGTAAGTTTCTCCCCTTTAATTTAATTTTACACCACTTGGGTTCTTCAAAAACATCCTCTCCCTGTACCCTCACCTGACTCTCTCTACTGTAAGGTCTTGCCTAGCATATATAACCACACCCCTCTTGCAAGTTTCTTGACAAAGGTTCGTAAATAAGTTATACAACTCCAACTATATCTGGTTGATGTACACCTTCAGTGGTGTTTTAAACTCCTCTCTCTTATCAAGGAACGTGTTAGTTTTAGTGTAAATGACTTTCAAGCCGGAATTTGTTCTCGTTGACGTCTCTGCTCTTGGAAGTGACTACAGCCCTCCTCCATTCTCAGCAGCAGCAGCAGCAGCAGGAGCATTTGCTAAATATATTGTAGTTTGCGGGGTGTGGTTAGAAATGTCATTGTTTACATGGCGCTCGCTTCCTCGTGGGTGGGAGGTAGAGTGGATGGGGGTGTATCGCTGTCCCCTGGCTCTGCGCTGGCGCTCTTGCTCCAACAACCCTCCTCCTGGCAATTTTACTTGGCAATACTTGGTAGGCTTGACAGATTGTGAATTTTCACAATATTAAACTATTCATTCTTATTTTAGATCATGAGGAATTCTTATATTTGCTTAAATAAGGAAGAAAATTTGATCTGAGAATTTTGTGGTAGTCCTCGTTCCTCGTTGTAGTTGAGTTGCCAATTCATTAAAATAATTTCTACATTATTTAACCAAGTATACGAACTTTTGGAAACTTCTTATGATCTTAAATAAGAATGAATAGTTTATTATTGTGAAAATTCAACCTTTGGATTGTTTAATATTTATCCTGACAGAAATGCAGCCGAAAATAGATCCACCAATCACAATCACCTTTACATACAGCCTTCTTTACCAAGTATTGCCAGGTAAAATTGCCACTAAGAGACTCGGGGTGGGGTCGCTGGATCTTTGGCTGACTGTACCTCCGACGTCGCCCTGCAGTAATTGCATGTCAACAGACCTGGTGCCCTTCAGCCCCTGATTCCCTACACCTCATGGCTGTCGCCGTTGGGGGGGGGGGGGTTGCAGACTCTTCGGATCTACTCAGCCTTAAGCCCACCTGTTTACAATGTGATATAATTCTAATCGTCGGCTTCATAATAATAATAATATTGATCTTTATTATTACTATGATAGTTGCTTCTAATCTGTATCTTGGTGATAATGATAATAATATTTCTTATTACTGTGCTAATTTCTTTTGTGTCTTGGTCGCAGGGCTTTAGTGTCACGGTCCCTTTGAAGCCCCTTCTGCTGGTGAGTAGGGAGGGAGGCCCCGGACTCACAGTAATTTCTTCTGAGGGAGAAATGTACCCCTCGCTGGAATGACTTGCATTATAATCACATCTACTAAGTGTAATCTAAGTAAACTAAGATGTGTAAGTGATTTTGCCCTTGTGGCAGATTAATATTATTTTAAAAGAATCACTAGATGCTCTGCTGGTGCTGACCTCGCTGGCCCTCTCTTTCGTCCAGTGCTGCCTTTCAGGACAGTTTGACTTGTTTTCTGTTTTTTTTCTTCTGTTAGGTTAAATTATTTAAAAAACAATGCACAAACTACGACAGTGTCTTCTTTAAAACACAGTGAAATTGCAGTGTTTTAGGTTAGGTTAGATTGGATTATAAAAAAAAAAACATTTGCACAAACTATGGCAGATTCCTCTATAAAACACTGTGAAATTATGATTTTTTATAATCGTTTACAATGGAAAATCGCCGGCGGGTCAGTCTTCAATAATTACCGAGAACGTATTACGCGTTAATTACATTGGGTTTAGAGTTGTACACATTCCCAGGTCAAACATAGATAATTAATTTATAGATTTTTTTGGTTATCTATTTTAGGGAATATGTATATAGTATTTATTATAGGATTAGATAAAATGTGCTACTAACATTACGCCCTTCTTGTCGCCTTAGTTTTCTTTTGCTCTTTCATGCTACATACTTTAGTTTGTCTGGTTCTCTTTCACTTCATCTGCTCTCACACACTCTTTCCCTTTACTCCTCACCTGACAACCGTGATCCGCATCGGCGTAATACCCGGGTAGTCTGCCAGTACAGGAGAATTCCATCACAGCGGGCACCTCCCTCAAGGCTGGCATGTCTGGAGGCAGCTGGGGAAATCCATAAGACAGTTAAACATGTCAGGTAAAAATTCAATAACCTTAATTTAAATACAAAGAGTAAAATTATTAAAATCTACCTCAGCCTTGTATCTACACAATCATCTGTCTCTTCTATCCACCTGTCTACGATTACCCGAATAATCTCCACCCTAGCTTATTTCACCTAAAGAGTAATCACCCTCACTTTTACTTTACCTTTACTTTTAACCACTTCGCCACTGATCGGCTAGTTAGCCGCTTTGGCAGTCGGTCACGTCTCTGTTACGCACTGTTGGCAAGTACTGGGCATGCACTGGCTCCTGAATATATCGGAACCTGCTCCAGTGTCGGTCAAGTCTGGTCTTGAATGAGTTCATACTCGGTGCCGTCACAACACTCTCTGGCAGATTGTTCCAAGAGTTCACAATTCTCACTCCGAAAAAGTTTGCCCTTACAGTTTTCTGGACTTGTGGCTTCTTCAACCTTGAGCTGTGACCCCTTGTGGGGCATGTGTCCGCTAGCTCTAGGTATGTACAGTACATTTGACCGAGTAGTGCCCCTGAGATGTGTATACACTTCGATTAGGTCTCCCTTGCCCGTCTGTAGTATAAGATAGGCAGGTGCAGGCGTTCTTATCTCTTTGGGTAATTGAGGTTCCGTAAAGAAGGCACCAGTCTGGTGGCCCTCCTTTGGACATTTTTAATCAATTGACAGTCTCTAGCATACCTCGGGGGCCAGATGGGGTGACAGTACTCCAGAAAGGGAAGCACCTCACTCTTGAAGATCGTGGCGAGCGACGGACCATCCAGATATCTAACCGACCTTCTTATAAGACCTACTAGTTTCGTTGCCTCATTCACCTTCTTTTCACAATGGTCCGAGAACTAAAGTTCATTGTCGACATACACACCCAGGTCCTTTTCACATTCGGTCTCAATTAATGCAGTTTTTTTTCGTCCTGTTGAGACATGTGATACGCCTCCTTACTCTTGGTGCTACCCAGGTGCATCCTCTTGCACTTCGTGACATTGAATATTAGCAGCCATTTCTTCGACCATTCTTGAAGCTTATAGAGATCTCTCTATAGCTCTTCATAGCCTGTTTGGTTCTTAATTTCTGTAAATAACTTGGTATCGCCCGCAAACATTTGTATGGATGAGTGTATACCTTTTGGCATATCATTTATGAAGCAAACAAACAACACCGGGCCCAATACACTGCCCTGTGGTCCCCGCTTGTCACAGGTTCACAAACGATTTCGTACCACTTATCACCACACACTGTCTGCGGTCATGCAGAACGTCTCCGATCCAAGCTAGGACGCTTCCTCGAACCCCGTAAACTTCCAATTTAATTCTCAACCTTTCGTGGGGTACACGGTCGAAAGCCTTGGCAAAATCTAGGTAAATTTTGTCGATATTTCCGCCTTGTTCTAGAATTTGAGTCCAAACATCCAGTACCTTGTGTTAAGCAGGATTGTCCCGGCATAAAACCGTGTTGACAGTCCTTTACAAGGGTGCTTCGTAGATGTTCCATCATGGCATCTCTTATGACGCTCTCTAGTACTTTACACACTATGCTGGTCAGGCTCACTGGTCTATAATTATTCGTGTAGTGACGATCGCCCTTCTCGAATATGGGACTCACATAAGCCATTTTCCAGTCATCGGGGACCTTTTACCATTCCAATCATTTGCAGAACAGGATCTTAAGGGGCTCCGCATGCTCGTTCCACAGTTCTCTTAACACTCTAGGCTGTACCGTATCAGGGCCAGGACTCTTGTGAATCTTTAGCTTTGACAGTTTATTTCTTATAACCTCATCTGAGAACACAATGTGGGTCAGCACTGTGTAAAACCGTCTTTCCTCAAACGCAAGGAGATTGTTCACATCCTCTCTTGTGAACACCGAGGAAAAGAAATTGTTCAACGCCTCCGCCTTATCCTTGTAAGAATCTACACAAATATCATTTTCATGCCTTAGGTCTAATATGCCTACTTGCGTTTTTAATCTCGGATTTGCCTAGCAGAAAATAGCCTTTGGGTTTGACTTGACCTCACTTGCAATCTGCCTCTGGAACTCTTTTTCAGCCCTTCTACACTCTGACTTTGCTTGGTTCCTGGATCTGACATACATCCTCCTGCCCTGCTCATCATTTGTCCCACGTCTCGAAATCCTCAGTTTTCCTTTTAACTTTGCCGATCGCCGCATGATTCATGTTTAGTGGTCTCTTCGTATTCCTGGATGCACTGGGTTTGGTCTTGGGTATATATTTATCGATCGAATGGTAAACTTTACTGGCTATGATATTCAGCGTAGTATCTGCGTTCTTATTTCTTAGGTAGTCAGGCCAGTGTATACTCTTCATCTCCTCTCTCATCCAGCGCAAATTCCTTTGTAATATTTGAACCAGGACCTGGTTTCGTCATGAACCAAGTAACAGTTAAATCTGAAGGACAGCGTGTATTGATGACTGGTGCCAACTGGGGCAAGGTGTTCCAGTTTGGCCACCATACCTTCCTCGTTTGTTATGATGAGGTCAAGTGGCTTGGATGTTTGCTCCCCTCTGTAATGAGGCGGGTCTCTAGCATGTTGGAAGAGAAAATTATCTCTCAGAGTTTCTACAAAAAGAGTAGCAGGGTTATTTAAGTCATTTGGCGTAGTCTCATTTCTCCAGTCGATGTCGCCATAGTTAAAATCCCCCATGACAAGGAGGTGGGTAGGGTTGAGCACCGCTGCATTGTCTATTAAGGCCCTTAAGCTCCTTTGGTTTAAGTTTGAGAATTTGTAAATACACCCAACAACAAGTAAGTCTATCCCATTTAATTTAATTTTACACCACTTTGATTCTTCAAAAACATCCTCTCCCTGTACCCTCACCTGGCTGGCTCTAAGGTCTTGCCTCACATAGATAACCACACCCCTCTTGCAAGTTTTTTGGGAAAAGTTCGTAAATGAGTCATATCCATCTAAATTGAACTCACATTCCTCCGGTTAGATTCTCCTGTTCTTGTACAACAGTTCTACAACACCTACTATATCGGGTTGATGTACCCTCAATAGTGTTACAAACTCCGCTGTCTTGTCAAGGACCGTGTCAGTTTTATTGTACATGTCTTTCAAGCAGGAAATTTTCCTCGGTGATGTCTTTGGTCTTGGTATTGACCCCCACCCGCATTCTCTGCAACTGCCTCGTTTACTGTAGCCCTTGTGCTTTGTGGGGTGTGGTCAGAGATGACTTTGTTTACATGGCGCTCGCCACGGGACAGTAGGACGCGAAATTTTTTTTCCTGAGGGCTTCCGTCATTTTCAACAAGCGGCACGTCACAGTGTTTGAAGCGCGGCACCACAGTACAATCAGCTGGTGACACCAAGAATTCGTTCTACCTTGGCTGTGCTGGCTAGGTTAGGTTAGGTTAGGTTAGGTTATTATTTGCTTGTATTAGTATCTATTACGATAGGATTAAGTCAAGCATGAATGATCGTCTCTTATTCTCTCTTTCTTACGGAGTGTACAGTGGAGCCGCGCTTCAAACAAATCAATGAACAGTCCGTCAGGTTCTATGTCTAAAATTGTTTGTGATATTAAAAGAAATGTGATAACTGCGAATGAGAACAACTCTCGTATCGAATTTGTGTGGATTCCGACCCATGTTGGAATTAGGTATCATGACCTTGCTGATAGACTGGCCAATGAGGCATGTAAGAAAAAAATGTTGACCGAAACCTTGGCCTGTCCAATGCTGTACTTAAAAACATTCAAATTAGAATCATGAACTCTGATCTAGAAGAACTGAGAGATGCAGAGAGACCTGGCAGTTGTAGCATTAGTTTAAATATGACAAATTTTGTGACAAGAGGTATGGCCAGCATAAGGACAGAACTATAGAAGCGTTAGGGGCGGGTCGGATCGTGTTGCGTCTCTGTAACAAACCGTGTTTGGCACTCGGGCCTTCGTTGTTGAGCAGCAGAAATTGGACAGTGATTACATAAGATCATCAAGACCTTCTTAGTGATGTGAAAGTGTAAATCGATGTAGGATTTTTAATGCTAGATGTGATTGTATTTTTGAAAACTCAATCTCCACGGAGTTGGAGGTACAGCCCAGGTCAAGAGGCATACAACCACAAAATCATTGCCATATGACAAAACTTTTTTTTTTTTTTTACGGAGTTGTGGTCACGGCTGTGATAAACGCCAACCAGGGAGTGTAGTACTGTGCCTTTAGTTAAATCAGTTCATAATGTCATGTGACCGCGGAAGAGGTTGTAAATAACTTAAAGTGAATACAAATTGGCAAGCTAGAGGGAAAGGCTGAAACCAAGTCGTGTTACAGGTGCCACAGAGACTTTAAATTTTATTATGTTTATGTGCTTTCTCATGGACTGAAACTGTGCCTACGTTACACCATTCACAGGGAGATACAGTGTACAGTACACAGTGAAAGCACAAAGAGATATAGTCGTTGATGAGCATAGGAAAATAAAGTATAAAGAAATACAAGTTAAAATAAAAATAATAAATAAAATCAACAAGCTTGGCTATCCGTAGAGGCATTCTATTACCGCCCCAAAGAAAGTTTATTTAATTTTTTTTGTGTTTCTAAAGGACTGAGTGGGTGAATAAAATCCGTTATTAGTAGCAAAATGCAGTGTACATAGAGACAGCGCATAAATACTGACAAACCGCCGAAGTGAACTGAATAAAATAAAAATAAAAATAGAAGAAAAAACTGAAAACATCTCTACAGGCAACAAGGGAGGTTAAACCCAGCAGAGGGGAGCTAAGTTCTGGTTTTTTCCTTTATTTAGTTTTTTTTATTTTATTTATTTATTTAGTTATTATTTTTAAATAGGTGAGATCTCTACACAGTCTGCAGCCCCCCCGCACAACAACAACAACCATGAGAGGTATGATGATATGTGACTACTGCGGGGATGATGGATATGGATGATAGTCCTGACCAATGCAACGTTTGAGAAGATGCTAACTGCTGTAAAGCATGAAGG